CGACGGTGGGCAGCACCCCCGCCAGGGCACGCGGCGCCGCGTGCAAACCTGGCCTGGCCCAGCTTCTCCAGCCAGGTCTGTGGGGCAAAAGTGGACCTTAGGGTTGCCCACGTCCTTGGCCGGGCCATCGTGCCCTCTGTAGTCTCAGTCCTAGGGGCACCATGGGAAGGTGAGCTGGTGTCTCCCAGGCAGATCCCAGCTGGAAAGGAAATCCCAAGAGCAAAGTTGGTTGAGCGTTTTTATAGCTCCACCCTGAAGTGGGGAGAAATGAGGTTCATGCTGGGGCGCACAGGACCCTCCAGTCCGTGCAGGCTTCAGAAACAAGGAGCAAAGAGGCTTGCAGGGGTCCAAGCCAGCTCCTGTTGCTGCCTTGGAGGGCTGACACGAGTCCCACGGGAGATGTCCCCTCTCTGCGGGAGCAGAGCTCGTGGTCAGGCAGCCACATGCCACACAGGCGTCTCCGTCTCACTTGGCCTCCTCTCCGACTGCATCTCCACTGTGCTGGCTTTCAGGAGCAGGTGCATCCCTTCCCCAGTGCCAGCAGTGCCCTCCTCAGCAGCACGGCTGCCTTCCTCCTCCTCCTCCCACTCACGGCCCGGGCAGAGGAAGCAGCAGGGGAAGGCTTTGCACCTGGAGGGAGGCAGCAGCCTCCTCAGCCCGGCCGGGAGCCTGTAAATGCGGCTGATGTCATCCCTCTCTCCCCGGGGGCAGCGATCGCCTCTTCGTGCTGCCAGGTTGGTGAGCAGCCCTCGCTCCTCCAGGGTGCCTAAAAGCAAGGTGACAGGCAGGGTGGTGAAAGTCCCTTCCCTATGGCTGTGCCCACGTCCCCGTGTGCCAGGGTGCACAGGGATCACATCAGCCCCTGGACATGCTGCAGCACCTGGAGCATCCCCTCACCTGAGACCGTATTCTCCAGGAAGAAGGACAAGAAGCCAGTTAAGAAGACAGGCACCATCAGCAGGGAGAGGAAGAGGAGGTCCAGAGGCACCCAGCCTGGGGACAGCACCAGAGTTACCTGGGACATCCCAGCTGAGGAGCCAGGAAGGGGCAGGAGCATGTCTTGGCAGATCCAGGGGCTGGAGCCAGTGGATTGGGCTTTGGACGCTGCCGTGAGTGATGTGTGGCTCCAGCCTCCCAAGACCTCAGGAGACAGGCGGCCATGGTGCCACAGGGCCTAAGGCTTTACCTTCCCTGGGGAACGTCCCTGCTACCTGTGGCCAGGTGAACCGGAGCGGTGCTGAGCCACCGCGGCACCAGCAGTGCCATGAACATGGTGAAGCCGACGATGAAGATGTTCCTCCCCGAGTCGATGTCCGCGTACCGGAAGTAGGAGATGCCCGTGCCCACGGCCACGGCGTAGGTCACGCAGAGCACCCCTCCTGTGAGGGGCAGGAGTCAGGCAGCGCCGGGCGCGAGGCAGGACGCGGGCACGCGCCGGCCTCTTCCCACGCCCACGGGAACTCTCGGCAGTGGAGAGGGGAAGGGGACGCGATCCCTACCGTGAACCACCAGCGGGATGCGGGTGAGCAGCCCTGCCAGCCTGGGGGACATGCCCAGCACCACGC